CTTTTGTTTTAGAACTGAGGAATCCAGGCTGCAGAAAGGATTGGTGAGTCTGATTTTTATTTGTTGATGTTTTATTTGCGTATTTTTCAGACTTTCGTCGTTCAATAGGCTTGAGGAGTTTTTGTTTGGGCGGCCGCCTCCGTCTCATTAGACCTCAGGACTCAGTTCATCCTCCTGCTGTTTACCTGCATGTTTCGATCATCTTTATTTTATTTTTTACATTTTTAAATTCTTTTATTTTTCATAAAGGCTGGTTTATGCTCAGAAACCAGGTCGTCTGCATGTGTTGTTGATATGCTCCGCCCCCTCTGCAGACAGGAGGTCTGTGATTGGTCAGTTCTACATCCGCTCTAAACTCTGCATATATTTGGTCCCTAATGGCAGAAACTCTGACTGTAGCGGCGTCCACAGCGCCTTGCTCACCTCGGACTCTATCCCAGACACGGTGCAGGACGCTAGTTTGTAGCTCTGGACGACAGCCAGTCTTTGGGGGACGCTCACGGGTGAACTGTGTGTCATCCGGCGTTGGATGAGGGATTGTAGATGGCGAACAAGCTCGTCAAACCGACAAACGCTGCCCACAATCCTAGCTAGTTCCTGATTGGCCCTCTGGCGTTGTGGCGTGGAATAACCTAGCATAGACCACGCTTCGATACTGGGCAGAAATAATAAAATATTGCGTCATACCTGCAACAAGCTAACTGCGACACACTGCTGGGGGAGGATAGCCAGTCCGTAACGCTCAGTCATTAGTCTGTGTAGACAGTAACAGTTCCCCACATCATAATTCCACCACCACCGTGTTATAGAGGTGATTGGCTGTAAGGGATGGAGATGTATCTCCATAATCAATCAACTTTATTGTCAATTACTATTTACAAACCGTTCATCCCGATACATCGCATAGATTGGGTTGGGGGGGCTGAGAGGCTGTTTTACTGAGGCCATGTTTGCCGCAAAACGCTGCCTGTGGCGCATTCTTACGGCGTGCCAGGTTCCCACTGGTTACCTGGCTGCCCAGGTGGTTCCCTATAGCGCTGCCTTTATCTCTGTGGAAAGATAGGAGCCACATTGGGGAGGAAGAGGGGAAAAAAACAACATATTTCGCAGTTTAACCTTGATAGTTTGAGATATAAAAAAAAACTCAGCACAAGAAAAGCACATGTAACACGAGACATTTCAGCAGAGGGTCACATTGGAGGCGGAGTCACATGAAGTCAATCTGACATTTGAGACATTAGCTGTGTGTGAATGATGATGGCGGTCAGTTTGTCCGTGAACGCCGTCCGCAGGCCATCGTCCTTGATAAGATGGAAGTTTATCAACAGTCACTGAGCGCGTCCAGAGATGCTTCGTGGTTAGGGGG